GAACCCCCCCCCCCCCCCCCCAACACTCAACAACTACAAAAATCATCAAATACAATTGAAAGAGGTCAACCGTCCAGCATATAAGACACTTATTTCTTACCAAGCATTTGATGTTTTTCCAATTAATAACTACTGCTAAGCGTAGTGTTCGTGTCCCATTCGGCTAAAAAAGTCATTGCCATTACACAGTTAATCGATTCAAAGCTCTCGGCAGCCTAAAAATGGCACATGATATACATACTCAGACCATGTGATTATGTGAATGTGATTTAAGAACGACGAAAATGGGCATTTGTGAGCGTACCTAAGTACCATCCGTTTGCAAGCAGCTTGGGTCGATTAAAGCACCAACTTGAAGCCCTCAGACAGGAAGTTATCACTACATGAAGCAGAACTTATTAGCAGTAGCAAATAGAATAAAATAGCTAGAGGCAGGGGTGAGCGAGGTAATTAGCATACCTTTTCTTATTGCCCTTTTTCTTAGCACCACGGCGACTAGCTACCACTTCCCTTCTATCTGGCACCCTCTCAGCACTGCCAGCAATGCCGCTATCGAGCTTAACCAGGCTCCCGAAACACACGTGATGCTCCATAAAATTCAAACTCTCAGATATGGAAAAGGTTGTGTAACTAATTTGTCTCTTCTCTAAATCATACCACAGAGGTAGCATATCATCAAGTACCATGAACACTTCCCTCCCACTCCTGGAATATGCTACCGGTGTTACATAATCAAATGACTTTGCATTAGTGTCCGATTCTCGGATGGTTAAAAACTTGGTCCAAGATTCCTTCGCCGGATAGTTCTTCATCACCCATATGTCAACACATTTGGATTTGTGATAATTGCACATCATGCAAAGGTATCCCCCTAAAGCCAGCACATTCATATGAAACTTTCTTTTTCTTCTAGGATAGTCCGGTTGGGGAACCAACCTATACTCCTCGGTCTCGAGATCAAAAGCAGCAATAAAATATTCAGTATCGGCATCTGCATCGCTGCATACAACCCAATGCAAATAACCCGAAGCGAGTACTCCATTAACTCTCTTAAACTTCAGATAATAGGGGAAGCAATCGATTTTCCTCCACGATTTCGATTTCATACTAAACACTTTCACTTCGCTCTCGCAGTCATAAGACTGTATGATTCTCAATACCTTATAATCATCACTCACTTTATCATATCCAAATCCGTAAACCAATCGACTGGTACTGAAGAAATCATCACCTGGAAATTCAAATTCTGAGAAGGGTAAAGCATATTGTTTCCGAGTTGTAGGGTTCCAAAGCACAATATCTTTGTCTTAAACGCCGCCGTCAAGACACAGTATTCCGTGGCATGAGCCGACGACATTAATTCCGATATCGTCCCGCTTCAAGGGGTAGTCAAGCTCCGTGTAATCGGCATGGTTAGTCTTCTCGAGCAGATCGAAGTCGGCAGAGTAGAGATAACATGATCGAAGAATAAGCTTCCGATCAGAGTTCGTTTGGAGGGTCCGATTCAGATGCATTTTGATGAAGTGGGGGCTATCGATCATCGAACGCCATGATTTTGAAACGCTTCTGAATCGTAGCAGGGAGAGCGCGGGAACTCGGGATAAGAAGTCGGCAACGATTTCCGACGGTATGTCCGACATGATTTCTGGACGGAGAAGACGGTTGCGGTACGAAGTGGGGTGCTAGGGATTGGGTTACCACAGGACTAATTTTTCCAAATTAAGCTATTTGTATATGAGAAGTTGTACCCAAATTATACAATTGCAGATAATTTTATTCCAAAAGAACTTGTTCACATTTGCAGATAATTTTCTTCCAAATTTTACTCTTGCTTTATTTTTTCTTTTTCTTATTTTTCTTTCTTTTTGATTATTTAATCAAATATCCCAACAAATTCCACCTTCATTAAATAATCAAATTTGTAGCTCCACCTCATTTGTCTCGTGAGATCATCGCTACCATCAAAGAAAAAATTACTTTGGCTCCATCTCGATTTACTTCTTGAGATCACCGCCAACCTCAAAAAAGAAAAAAAACTTGTGGCTCTACCTAGATCAATCCACCGAGATCACCGCCACTTTGTAAATTTTCTTGTGACCCCATCTTGCTCAAAACTGCAAGATCTTTGTGACCATTTATTGCTTTTGTAACTCCACCTTGTTCAATATCACAAGGTCCTTGCTGCTTCCAATTTTTATTGTACCCGTGACTCCATCTCAACCAACCCCGTTAAGACCACCGCCACTACCTTAGCTCATTAGAGTTCTAACCCTCCACCCCGAGCTAAAAAAAAGACAACTCACCTTTGTTAACACTCTCTAAGACCACCCATCTAGCAATTAGCTTCTTTCGATCCGCCCATCTTGCACCGCCGCAACAACACCTGCGAAACACGCCGCCCGACCTCTTCTTGCCGGGAAGACTTTCGACACAAGACATAAGCCGAAGTTTTCTACTCCGCTAGACCACCGGTCTCCTCAAGTCATGTTCCTGCACCATACTTCACAAAGCCATCATTCCGCTTCGTACCCGGTCCCCATGCCATCCACTTTGTTCATGAAGTCCCATGTTTGCCTTCTGGCCAAAACCGACCAGTCCTTTGGTTCTCAAAATTTCTTCTTTTACCGCTTACAAATCCCTCCTGCCTAGTGCAACCAAGCTCCGATACCAATTGTTGGGATTTTAAGCGCGTAAGATACCGAAAAATATTGAGAACACTAGAAAAATGAGAGAACAAACACAAGAGGAATATATGAGAGAAAAATTATATTTCCATTATTTCAGGACAATATACAAAAAACACTCCCCTGTTTACAAGACTAAATTTCAGACACTCATAAACATATCTTTCCACATCCTATGCCCGGATGTATTTTTCCAAGTAACTAAAACCAATTACTCCCTACACTCACCCACACTCACCAAGACCCCTTGGATTTTCCCGGTGGTATTCTTGTGTAAAATTCCTCCCATTTTCTCTCTATACCTTCATGGCTTTAAAATACCCAAATGAGTCATGCCAACACTAAGAGCCAAAAAAGGATGACACATCCTTTGATTTCAACCAAAAGCAAAGAAGGTCACGCACATGCATCCATATCCTCCACCTTTTTCCTTTCCTCTTGCTTTATTTTTTCTTTTTCTTATTTTTCTTTCTTTTTGATTATTTAATCAAATATTCCAACATTTATTTTATGTCAGTGTAAACTATAAAAATGTTAGTATATATTTTTTGTGTACAATGTGTGATATACTCTTCGGTGTACCCCTAGCATGGTTGCATTTTTCCAACCAAGATGATTTTGTAAATCAAATAGTGTGACTTACTCTTCAGTGTACCCCTATTTTAATCCGATCTAATAAGATTTTATGAGATATAATTTAATTGGATTTGATCTAATCTTAATTGTAGTTAAATTTAAAGTTATTTCTGATCAGATCGGATTAGATCTGATCTAATTTAATTGAATCGGGTCTGATTAGATTTGATCTGATTTTAATAACAATAAGTAATAAGTAAAAAAAGTTAAACATAACATACCCTTAGCCACCCCTGTGAACATCAGGCGTTATAGGTATCCTCTACGGTAGAAAGATGTGATTGAGCAACTAGTAAAGGAAATGGAGCAGACGCGCATTATACAGGATAGTGGAAGCCCTTATGCTTCCTCGGTTGTCTTGGTAGGGAAAAAGATGGGAGTTGGAGACTTTGTGTGGGCTATAGAGAGCTTAACAAGCAGACTGTGAAATAGTTGTCCAGGGCACTGGTGGTCGCATCCATTTCAGACTATGAAATAGTTGTCCAGGAGCCTCCTCCTCCGCCACTCTAATTCGTCTTCTCCCCCCTCCAACTCCTCTAATTCGTCGCTCCTCCCAAAAGCCTAGCTCTCAGGCTCGGAAAATAGTTGTCCAGGAGTATGTTCCCTTAAACTGAATGCCCGGTCAGTTTAACTCAAAGGTCCACACCTGGGAGGAATGGGAAGAGCGGTTGGAATCAATGGGCTTCCTAGCCATTGACATCAGACCGGTGTTCAAAACATCCTCAAAGGTCACTAAAAAGGTCTTGGCTGGCTTTCGCTCTTTTCTCCCACCGGGCTACATCCTCCCTTCCAAAACCGTGTGGCCTAATATAGTAGAACCCCATCAAAGAACCCGGTTGGGTTTCCACATTGCTTCTCTGGAGGGTGGTATGATTTTTCCTCTTCGCCCCCTCCTTATCGAAATCTATCTCAAGTTTTGCGTTCTGCCCGGTCAACTTACTCCTAACGCTCACCGGTTCTTAAATTGCTTCGTCAACATCTGTGATTCTCTGAAAATCAAGCCTTCCCTTCAACTCTTTCTTCACATGTTCGATGTCCTGCCCGGGGCTAGTAATTACCCGGGCTTTGTTTACTTCCATTCCCACAACAAGAGAGGATTTGTGACCGGTCTCCCCCTAGTCACAAAAAATGGAAACAAAAATTTGTTTTTATTGAATTTCCTCCCGAGCAATTCCCATTCCCTAATCTCCAATGGGCAGACCGGGTAGAAAAACCTGAGAGGGTTTGACCGGAGCCCACGCCCGAGCTTGAAGACGCCTGCGAGAAACTTCTCAAGGGTGATCCCGTGACCGGGAAACCTTGTGCCTATGGTGGCTGGGTGTACCGGTTACCCAACCCGGATGGGGGCACGTCTGCGACCCATGATGCAAAAGATGACCGGGTCAATTCCCCGAATAGTCATGCTGAGGTCGGTTCCCCTCATCCAGGTTGGTCCTTCTCCTTCAAATATTTGTTTTTCAATCAAGGTAAAGTTTTTAACCGGTTACTTATTGTTTTGTGTTTTTTTCTTGATAGACATGAATTTCGCCGGGTATCAAAACCTAGATGTATCTGATGATGAAGTCCAACACTTTGACCAGTCTCCCTTTTCAAAGCTTCCTTCCCCTCCCCATATGTCTGAAATGGATGCGACCCCAGTCCCCGGTGCACTCCTCTCCATGAGTTTGTCCGGGACAAAAAGGTAAAATCCCCCTCAGCCACCCATCTCTCCGAGGGTGACCGGGATGACTCCCCTAAAGTCCAGGCCAAAGTTTCTGCAAAAGAGACCAGTCCTTCCTCCTCCCGCGCCAAATCTCAAAAAAGGAAGGGCTCCAATAAGAGTTTTAGGGGGTTCCAAGAAGAAAAAGACTGGTTCACTAAATCTGGAAGGGGAATCTATTGAAGAAGCCTTCCTAGCTTTGGCCAGAAGACTTCACAAGGTAACACATCTTCAACTTTGTTACCAGCTTAATTGTTTCGTTTTCCTTTTTGTTGATAGATCTTTTCCCAATCCTTAGGCCGGGGCTATATTAGAAGATGTTGGTCGGTCACTCTTGGAGTCGAGGGACCAGATCTCCCAACTGAACCTCCTGCTCAATTCTGCCAAGTTGGAGATCAATGACTGGGCTGAAAGGGAGAAAAGGCTTGAGGAAGAGCTGAGGGCCGAGAAGGCCAAACTAGAGGAGAAGAGGGCCAGGTCTGCCCAATTGGAAGAGGATGGGAGGAGAAAAGTTGCCAAAATAGTTGAGCTCGAGGATGGGTTGACCCAAGTCAAAGAATCTGCCCGAGCAAAAGAGGAAACCTTCCTTGTTGATGCTGCCAACTGGGCCGCCTGCCAACTGAGAGATCTCTCCTCTACGCAAAGCTCAAGAGGAGGGATGCTACTTTCGATCCGGATGCCATGAAGCTCCCAGCCCTTTATCAAGAAGATCCATCTCCCCCTTTCCCCTTAGAATAAGCTAGGGATTAACTTTCAAACTTAAAACTTCTCAAGGCCTGGGGATGTTCGGCCTGATTTTGATTGTTGTTGTAAGACACTCTCCTTTCCTGACATGCCCTTAGTATTTACCGGTTTATTTCTTTCAATTTGCATGGTTGAACTATCTTCTTGTATGGTTAATCTTTTCTGCCCGGTTTCTTTTTTGAACATTCCTGGACTCGGACTCTACTCGTAGTAAATACACACATTGAGAACACAAAGTATGACCTAGACCGGGCAAAACTCCTCAGTCCGAATTATGTTTCTTACTCTGTCTCAAGAGTGTACTTTTAGTGAGATAAAGATTGGATCCTCTCCTCTATCCATTGCTAACATACTTATAGAGGAGGATATGTGACCTTCACATGTTCATCCATGGACAAAATAGAAAGCTCGTGGGAAATTCACTGTACATAATGGAATTACTATTCAATCATGGACTTGCCATGAATACAACCAAAACACACCGTTCACTTATTGACATTAGGAGGAGATCTTCATCCAATCAATCCTGACAAGTATTCCTTCTACTGTTTGTCTCGTAAAGGATGAACGGTGGGGTGATCTCTTGATCTTTGATGTGGATCGCCATGCTTAGGAGATTGGACGAATGTTAGCCAAGATGAATAATATGACCGGTCACCTTTCCTTAAAGGCTACCCGGTCATTTCTTGAGCTCAGAACTACCTTTTGGTCTTTCGTAGCACCCTTCGTAACATTGGTGACATTTTTTGGCTATCGCTCGAAATGTGACCGGTCACTTTTTAAGNATCCTGACAAGTATTCCTTCTACTGTTTGTCTCGTAAAGGATGAACGGTGGGGTGATCTCTTGATCTTTGATGTGGATCGCCATGCTTAGGAGATTGGACGAATGTTAGCCAAGATGAATAATATGACCGGTCACCTTTCCTTAAAGGCTACCCGGTCATTTCTTGAGCTCAGAACTACCTTTTGGTCTTTCGTAGCACCCTTCGTAACATTGGTGACATTTTTTGGCTATCGCTCGAAATGTGACCGGTCACTTTTTAAGGAAAGTGACCGGTCAACTTTCGACCCGTCTCTTTTGAAGAGTTTGTCTCATTTTGTAATTGAGGAAAGTGACCGGTCAACTTTTTGACCTGTCACTTTGGATATTCGGGCCGGGTATAAGTTATACCCATCAGTTAGCAATATTATATTGAAGAAGATTTGTAGAATTAAAAAATATCAGTTTATACGGTGCATGGCATGCCTTGAAATGCTACTCCCTCTGTCCAGGAATGTTTTTCATGTGATGACTTAGCATGCTTATTTAAGAGTAGGAAAGTGTTAAACTTTCAAGAATGTCTTAAATTTTTGATCACCTTTTTTGTTCAAAAAACAATAATAAGTAGATGGGTAGTAATAAAATAAAAGGATTCGATATTATTGACACTTATCTTTAAAAAGTAGACTAAAGTGAACTTTCTTACAAATCTTTTATGTGCTCATAGTAGGATTTTTTACAAGACCTATATACTCCCTCCGTCCCTAAATAAACTTCCCCTTTCGTTTTTTCTTTGTCTCCAAATAAACTTCTCTTTTCCTTTAAAAAACTCCTTTTACCCTTTACTTTTTCATACCCTACCTATCACATCATCCCGTTTTACTAATAATCTACCTATCACATCTTACTTTTACACATCACATCAAGGATATTCTTGGAAAGTCAACACAAAAATATCTCTCCCTTAAATCCTCAAAAAGTCAAAAATGGAAGTTTATTTATGGACGGAGGGAGTATATAACTATTTTATGAATTAAAAACCATAAAATTAGTACTCCTTCCGTCCTACAAAACATTACTCATTTTGATGTATTTTTGGTAAAACAGTTACACGCTTTGACCATAAATTAAATACGGAGTATAATCTAAATAAAGAAATGTTATAAAAATTTGAAATATCAAAACTAGATCCTAAGATGAATCTAATTATATTAAATTTATATTATAATTCAATATATTTTTTCTGAGCTGGGGAAGTTTACTTCTTTGTTAAGGAAAGAATCCCAAGAGAAGAAGGCAGGAATCAACCAGTTACAGAGCAAAAGTCTACGGAGTATAAAATACTCTTCCCAATCGAACGAAAAATGTGAAGCCATTTTGAAAATCTCTCTCTGCAACAAAATCTTCTTTCTCCTCTTCCCGGCAAGCAAACAATGTCGGACATCCCGTCGGAAATCGTCGTGGAGTTTTTATCCAGAGTTCCCGCGCAGTCTCTGCTGCGCTTCAGGAGCGTGTCGAAGAAATGGCGTTCCATTATCGACAGCCCCCGTTTCATCAAACTGCATCTCCATCGGGCGCTCCAAACGGAGTCCGATCGGAAGATTGTTCTCCGGGGAGACGGTTATTTCTTCTGGGCGGACTTGGATTTGGTAGAAAAGACTAAGAAAGTCCATTATACCAAGCTCGACTGCCCTTTCGAGAGCAAATCACTAGTAACAAATGTCATCGGCTCTTGCCACGGGGTTCTGTGTTTGGGTGGCGACTTCGAAGACGAAACCATTGCTCTGTGGAACCCTACGACCCGGGAAATGTTCAAAATACCATCCTCTACGCTTTCGGATAACTGTCATTTGGGTCTGGGGTTCGGGTACGATAACAAGAGCGATGATTATAAGGTGTTGAGAATCATCCAGCGTGTTCACGCCGAGACTGAAGCGAGAGTGTATAGCATGAAGTTGAAAACGTGGAGGAAGATCGATCGCTTTCCTTTTCATCTGAAACATAGAATGTCCAATGGAGTGCTGGCTTCGGGTTCTCTGCACTTCAAATGCAGCAGCATCGACCCCGAGGGCGAAAATGATGTGATTGGTGCGTTTGATCTGGAGACGGAGGAGTATAGGCTGGTTCCCCACCCGGAGTTTCCTGCTGAGAATGGAAATTTTCACATGAATGTGGAGGCATTAGGGGGCTCCCTGTGTATGATGTGCTATTACGGCCAATCCAGGTCTCTAGACATATGGGTGAATGAGAAATCTTGGACAAAGCTGTTAACCATAGGAGAACCGGATTGTGGTGGTTTGGGTTCCTTTTTGAGCGTTTCTTATGTTAAACCATTGGCCTATTCCCGGAGCGGGCGGGAGGTGTTCATGGCACACGGCGATATGATCCCGCTTTGGTATGATGTGGAGAAGAGAGCGATTACGTACGTGGACTTTAACGTCAGTTATAAAATGGCGTTTATGGAGCATCATCTCTCTTGTGCAAGTCTGGTTAATTAAACTAGTTGACAGTAAGAGATATGCTTGCTACTAATTAAGCTTGAATTTGCACTGTGCTACCAAATCTTTGTAGGCAAAGAACATCACACAAAAAAAAAAGAGTAGTCGGAATTGCAGGTTACGAATTAAAACTTCCTACTTTTTGAAATCATTTTATTTACAAATTGGTATATTAATAAGATATAAAAATTACATATTAAAAAAGTACGTCAAAATGACTGATTATGGAATGGTTTCAATAATGTCATGATTAGCTTCATAGCAGAATGTTCTCGTTTGACATTAGCTATTGCAATGGGTACAATAAAGACCAATTTGTGTAGTGATTTATTTTATTTGTGAAATATGATTTTATTCTAAAATTAAATGGATGCATAGGGTATTAGGCGAGGACCAAACCCAAGTCCCCAAAACTACACCAATTTGCGTAGTGAATAAATGGATACCAGAACGTCGTCTTCTTCACACTTGTAAATAAATTGGCCTGCCTTATCATCCCCAAAACCCAAAAAAAAGTGTCCCCTTTGTTAGAGAATGTAGTATGGTTTGTCCTTGACGGGCTCATTCTTTTGGGCTCATAATTAGGTCATGGTCTTGTAGCTATTATAAATAGCGGATATATGTGTAATCAAATCATTCAAGTAATTTAGATCTAATAATATTCCTACATGGTATCGAAGCCAACCTGGGAACCTGAACCCCGTTTAAAAAAAGATGAAGAACCCCGTTCAAAAATAAATTTGTGGCCACTCATGCTAACCAACTGTGAGTTTTTAGCATTTTTGATGTGGCAAAACTAAGAATATAATACACCCTTCATCATACAAAACTTTTCCTCTTTCTTTTTTTATCGGTTCCAAAAAAACTTTTCTCATTTCTTTTTAAAAGTCACTTTTACTCCTACTAATTCTTCACCTACATATCATATCACACTTTTTTCACTACTAACATACCCATCATATGTACTTTTACATGTCAAATCTAAGGACACTAATATTTTCTGGAACAGAAGGAGTATTATAACGAATCCCCCACTCTTAGAATAAGGTCCAAAATAATGAAATGTAGTAAAGACCAAATGACCTTACATGCATGCATGTTAAAATCTCTGAGGAGTGCTAGGTGAACACCACTTGGAGTACACTACATGTACACTAAGTTTAAAATAGATACACACAGATACTTTTGTGTCTATTTTTAGCTTGATGTACATGTGGTGTACCTCAAGTTGCGTTACACCCGTCGACTTTGACTTTCCTCCGTCATGGTTTTTTTCACTTTTTCCCATTGCATGGACCTTTTCTTTTTCTCAATCAAAACTCCGGTTCAGTCCGGCCGGAAGCCAACTGGCTATTCCCACCCGACATAAATTGTCAACATATGAGTGGGCACTGAAAACGAGTGAGTATCTCTGGCAACTACTCTCTCTCTCTCTTTATTACTCCTTAGGGGCTGTTTGACAACTTCTGAATGGGTAAGTGCTGAACCAGTAAGAGGTCTGAATCATTAAGTGCTGAACCATTAAGAGCTAGTATATTGGTTAACTATTCAGAGGCAAATGTCTGATCAATTCAGATAACAGCTCTTAACCATTCAGACTCTGTATAATACTTAACCATTCAGAGGCAAATCTCTTAACCATTCAGACATCTGAACCATTAAGAGGCTGAAACAAACAGTCTGAACCATTAAGTGCCGAATCATTCAGACATCTGAACCATTAAGAGGCTGAAACAAACAGCCCCTTAATTAAAACTCCTAAGCACAGCTAAAATAGAGAGTATGTTTTACCACCACTCCCTCCCAATGGTAAAAAATATACTCCATCCGTCCCGCAAAAAACTTTCCATTCTGACTTTTAAAGGATTTAAGGGAGTATATTTTGGTGTTGATTTTCTAAAAATGCCCTTCGATGTGATGGATAAAGTAGGATGCGATGTGTAGATTAATAGAGAAAAAGAGTGATGTGATAGGTAAGTTAAGAATTAATATGGGTAAAAGTGACTTTTTAATAGAAAAAAGAGAAGAGTTTTTTGTGACGGATGAAAAAGGAGAGGAGAAGGTTTTTGTGGGACGGAGGGAGTATATTGGATCAAGTGAGAATGCGATCTAATGAAAGAAATAAGAATGCATCTCGTGCATTAGATGTAAGATCCAAGGGCTTGAAAAATTAAAAAAAAAAAGAAAAGATATGAAAAAACGCGGTGACATTATGGTAAATAATTTGAACTTTACTCAGAGCGCCGAAAATGCACTACCACAATGTAAAACTGCATCGTGACGGCATAAAAAAGCACCATTCTCACGATAAGATCTATTCTCGCAGTAAGGATCATTCTCACTTGAACCAATCCCTATATCTACATTTCGTATTAAAATGAGATTGAAACTCTCTCTCCGTTTCTTAAAACCCTTCCTCTTTCATTTTTTTTGTTTTTCTTAAAACACTTCCCCTTTCTATTTAAAAACCACTTTTACCCCTACTTTTTCATACCCTACCTATCACATCATCCTTTTTCACTAACAACTAAACTATCACATCTTACTTTTACCAATCACATCAAGGGCAAAATTAGAAAGTCAACTACAATTTAACACTTCCTTATTTTCCCCCAAAGTCAAAAGAAGAACTCTTTTGAGAAACGGAGGTAGTACTATATAAGTATGGATTTGGTATTAAGGATATGACACGCATGGAATTAATTGGTTTAATGACTAAAAAACGAGTGGACCTGTAGAAGTCTCTTGTTTTCACCTTTTTTCCCCATACATCGTCAAAGGACCATCCTTCTGTCATACAACTTTCATCCACTTTCACTCCATATAGTCTCATGCAACGTAATTACTTCGAAACTCTCCCCACACATGCACAACATGTATATATACATCTATATATACATATATCTTTTGAAATCCAATTTGAGAAAAAATATATATTTCTTGTGAAAATGGATGAAGAAGAAGCATGCAACAACACCAACAATGGGCATTCTTACAAGGGAGTGAGGAAGAGGAAATGGGGGAAATGGGTGTCCGAAATCCGGGAGCCGGGGACGAAGACGAGGATATGGTTGGGGAGCTACGACACCCCCGAGATGGCGGCCGCGGCATACGACGTCGCGGCCTTCCACTTCAAGGGCCGCTACGTGCGCCTCAACTTCCCGGAACTGGTCGAGGGTTTCCCTCGGCCGGCCAGTTCTCGGGCCGAGGACGTCCGCCTGGCGGCCCATGAGGCCGCTATGAGGTTCGCGCCGCCGCGGGCCGGTGACGAGGCGGCGGGGGTGCCCCAAGGTTTGGGCGAGGTAAGGGTGGGCCTGTCGGCGAGTGAAATAGAGGCCATAAACGAGACGCCAATGGACTCGCCATGCAAGATGTGGATGGAAGTTGGGCTAGTGAAAGGCCCAGAAGATTATGATTGGGCCGAAATGCAGAGTGTTTCCATTTGGGATTATTGATAATAATACATTAATACTTCCTTCATCGAATAAATTCACAAAATTTTTTACTCTTTGACTATAAATTATGGAAAAAGTAAAATTTAATTATAATGTAAATTTAATATAATTTAAGTCATGTGAAGATGTAATTTTTATACATCACATTTTATAACATATACTTTGATATTGATCTGAAAGTATATTTATTCATGGTCAAACTGTATTGTAGATTTACCAAAAATATCGAACTATACAGAGTTTTATGTGATGAAGAAAGTAAAAATATTTTCACTCCATTTTCTTTCATATTCTTTAATTTTTTTGAATACCGGTATTAATTTTGATTTGTTGTCGTTGACTTAAGAATATATTTCGAGTGTATTTGTCTAGTTTGATTTTTTACAATCAAACTCAGATGCATTGTATATAAATAAAATACTCCGTAAATTAATTGTCTTGAGAATGTTTTACAAGATCGATAAAATCTATCTAAATCATTTTTGTAGTAATATGTAATACAGAGGTTATTTATCAAAATTCATCTAGTTTGACTGCAAGAAATCCAAATAAACAAATACATTGCAGAGTAGTGCTTCTGTGGTCCTAAGGTTCGTATGCAAATATGGATATTCTCACACTTTTCATTGGTTTGCAAGTTGTTTTTTTTTTGCAAAAATCTCAATTCTTTCATTTTGTTTATAATCTAAGATCTATATAATGAGTATGAAACCAAGGTCTAAGGATCAAACAATAATTTTCCTACACTTTAACATAGTATTATATAGATTTGGTATTTTTTTCGATTAAATATATATACTCTCTCCGTCTCTAAATAAACTTTCCTTTTTGACTTTTTGAGGATTTAAGGAAGGGATATTTTTGTGTTGACTTTCCAAAAATAGTTTTGATGTGATGTGTAAAAGTAAGATGTGATAGGTAGGGTATGAAAAAGTAAGGGGTAAAAGAGGTTTTTTAAGGGAAAAGAGAAATTTATTTGGGGACAAAGAAAAAACGAAAGGAGAAGTTTATTTAGGGACGGAGGAAGTAGTTGGTATTTGAGAAAGAAGAAAAATGCTTTTAAAAAAATTGGCCCCTATTAAGCTTTTCCCCTAGCAAGAAGTCCACTTCTCAGAATTCATGAAAAAATTTTCCTAAGTTCGAGCAATAATGAAGACAGAGGCATTGCCTCTTTGTATGTCAATAGATTGGAAATAATATGATAATAGAGTTAATAGCAATAATAGGAATTTGAGCTTGTATTTTGGCCATACTTTTGGCATCCATCGACTTGAAATTCTTCCGTTTTGACTTTTTAAAACCGTGATGTTAAACTTTGACTACGAAAATGTTTTTATTGAAAGTGGTTTATTATAGTAATAAAAAACATAAAATGCTCTTTGTTAAAAGTAATTTAAGTAATAAAAGTACAATATTTATCACTTTGATTAGAAAACGTCAAACAAAAATTTAAATCATATACTTAACTAGATCGATATTAAAAAGTCAAACTTGAAAAATTCTTAGTATTGATAAATACTCTATCCATGTATATGTTTTAAGCTCTTACTTTTCGAAATTACCTTTTTTATCTCACAGAAATTTCGTACAAAGCAGTTGTCACGATTATTAAGAGAATAAAATAAACGACATCTGTATTTTTCAATTACTTTTACACATTCTTTTATTTCAATCACATTATACCAAGGATATATTGAAAATTTAATATCAAATTAAAATTTGAATTAATACTTCGTATATATGAAGGTCCTACGTAAGATTTGATTTAATACTTCATGCCCTATTTTTATACCAAGCATCTACAAACAAACACAGGGACTCAATGTTTGTACGTACACAAATATTGAGGTGTCTGTGAATATTTGGTGTACAAATGGGATAACCGATTTTACTATTTTAGCATGCCAATAGGTTAATTCTAATTTTTTTTATAGTAGGTTAATTCTATTTTAATAAACTTGAAAGATAATAACGTAAGCCCGGAAGCCCAATGTGCCGAAGGGCCAAGCCGTGTAACTGTGTAAAGATCCAACAAGTCGAGATATAATCCGGCCGGAAGTAGCTCTAACCCTAATAAATTCATTTGCCCTTCTCCTCTTTTCGCCGATCTTTAGTCTGCGCGAGCCAGAACCGAAAGAGGCAGTGAGGCAGTGAGAGTTTGAAGGGGAAGAGCGAAAATGGAAGAAGTGATGGAAGTCGCCGCTCAGATTCCTCAGGAACAGACCCCTCAAACCGGCATCATGCTGTTCAATCGCTGGACCTACGATGATGTTCAGGTCTTTCATCCGAAATCCTTCATTTTTTTCCTGTTTTTTTTCTTTCGATCGTTTACGTTTGAGATTTTATGCCCACAGTATCTGTTTATTCGAGCTAGGTCGTACGTAATTTCAGTTTTAGATCGGAATGCTATTGTAGATTCAGTACATAGATTTACGAATGGAATGAATGAAGATTTGAATTAGATTATGTATTAAACGTTGCAATTTATGTGCTGGAATCGAGAAATAATGTCCAATTAGCAGAGCAAGGGCGCCGATCTGTTTGAAACGGCGTTACTTGCATTGAAGGTTGGCAAAAATAATTTTGTTAAATCGCGGTTCTCCGTGCCTTTCAGATCTTTGCCGTTTTGACTTGGCCTCGAACAGATCGCAACATGATTTTGACATTTTTGAAGATTTAAAGATTCATATATGTTGTGAATTTATAGTTTAAATCAGTGCCTCCTGTATGTTCCATGAATGGTTCTATACAGGTCAGTGATATATCAGTGGATGACTATATAACTGCTACTGCTTCAAAGCATCCCACATATACCCCACACACTGCTGGTAGGTATCAAGCAAAGAGGTTTAGGAAGGCACAGTGCCCTATTGTGGAGAGGCTGGTGAACTCTTTGATGATGCACGGGAGGAACAATGGAAAGAAGTTAATGGCTGTCCGCATTGTCAAGCATGCGATGGAAATCATCCATTTGCTTACTGATTCTAACCCTATTCAAGTCATTGTGGATGCTGTCATCAACAGGTTCTTTTTGGACAATATATTTTACTTTCCTGCCCTGGTTTACTGTGACGTTTCTCTGTTTTTTTACAAGTTTGTGTTCATTTGAATCTGTTGATCAAATGGAATAATAAGTTCTTCAAAATCAGAGAAACGTCAGAGTAAACTTGTAATAATAAGTTCGTTGTTGGCTAAATAAGTTTTAAAAATGGAATAATAAGTTCTTCAAAATCAAGGGGTTTTTATGTTCGTTGGGCTGTATTCTTTTTAATGTACTCTTTTATGTCCTTACATTCATCTGTGTTTTGAGTGCTTTAGATTATCCATGAACTGTCTCTTTTCAATCCTGTATTTTTTCCCTGCTCTATCAAGTGAACATGAAGAAAATTGATAGTTTTTAAATCTTTCCATTCTTTGGGGATGATCTTTGTTTTTGGTTTCTACTCTCTTCTCATTGTTGGCTACTTTTAGAACTCATTCTCTTTTTTCGGATTATTTACACTATAGTTCAAGGAATTTGAAAGGGAATAGAAAAGAAAATGAAGTAGAAAACAGTTTTTCTTGTTTGGTTAGAGGGGATTTGGAAGGAAAAGTGGAAAGAAAAGAAAATGAGAGCCAAAATGTACCAAGTAGAAGGAAAACCAAATTTCTCCCATTTTGGTGAGGAAAATCATAGAACCATTTTCTTTTCTTTCCATCCAAATTTTTTGTTCCAAACATAGTGTTAGTGTGTTTTTGTAGTTCACTAACCCTTTATGATTATAACAGTGGCCCAAGGGAAGATGCTACCCGTATTGGCTCTGCTGGTGTTGTAAGGCGGCAGGCTGTTGATATCTCTCCCCTCCGCCGTGTCAACCAGGCTATATATCTGCTCACATCAGGTGCTCGCCAAAGTGCCTTCCGCAACATTAAAACCATTGCAGAGTGCCTTGCTGATGAGCTCATCAATGCTGCCAAGGGCTCTTCTAACAGGTAAATGAAGCCTAACATTGAGTTTCCGTGAGCGTTACATTTTTTCTTAAAAGTGAGAGGATCGTTTTCATACTAAGGGTTGTTTTTTTTGCAGTTATGCAATCAAGAAGAAGGATGAGATTGAGAGAGTTGCCAAGGCCAACCGTTAAGTGGTGGTCATCCGTGTGGGATGTTTTTGCTAGTTTTATGTTATGAAGATATTGGTTCCTTGTTGAGGATTGTTGTTATTATGTTCTTGTTTTGAATTCTTGTTGGGAGTTTTTCTATGTATGAGCATTATCTATAACTTTTGATAGAAGGTTTTTGAGTTTAACCTTTGCCAATTGAATTTGGGTCTTTGCTGTTTGGTTATTTGTTATACTCCATAGTATTTTCCCAATATTTTTATTATATTTGTGTGCTATATGTGCATTTATTTTTCATGAAATCAGCATAAAAATGAAACAAATGATTTACTTGTGTGTTTTTAATTTTTGTTTCTCCCTATCTTAAAGATGGTGGTAGGGTGGGTGGATGCCTTTTATCCCAAATTGTTCTTCCTGGTCTGATTAGTTTTCGTGCACCCGTGCCAAAATCTTATGTTCAAATAAGCCTTTTTTGGTACAATCATTTTGCCTGGTTTTTAGTCGTAGAGCAACATTAAAGAAAACGGGTAGAGGTAGAAAGATAGACTTAATAGCACTAAATCTCTTATGGTTTGGAAAATAGGTATCGAAATCTCTCTAAAAATCTGCGGTTTCTAAACGTGGCATATGCTCCCTCTCCCCCCAAGCTAATCTCCTAAACGTGGCACACGCCCCCCTCCCCCAAGCTATTTTTCTTTCAATCGCTGGTAAGCGATGAGAAACGGAAAACAAAGACCAAGCCCTGCGATTGACAATGGGAAAACAAAATAATGTGTTGCTTCCATTGTTGAACATATACAAATTTGAATATAATCTTAGCATGTAGTTAAGATGTTTTCTTTTTTCTTTTAATTATATACTTCTTGTTTCTCATAGTTTCTAAAAATTTGCTTAGTTATGATTTATGAATGTAGAAGCTGGCTTTGAACTTGCTCTAGAATTTACACACCG